GATACTAAGCATCAGTGGACTGCTGTTATTGTCAGTTGGTATGCCTGTCAAAAAGGAGGAAGGACTATTTAAAGCTTATATTGTCTGGGTTTAACCGTCATGAAGTACCAACACCTCAGCATGTTTACTTAGGAAGTGAACGATGGCAGACCTGCTGAGGCAACGGTATAGAGACCGCTTTCTGTTGCTCCCACATAAGCAGCTGGATGTAGTGGAGCTTCAGGTCCCAAATACTGCTGAGCCAGCTGAGAGTTGAAGAGAGCGCGTCCAGTGAGGAGAGACTGCACATCTCCTTGGTGGGGAAGGTCAATCGTGCCAGGACACTGAGGCTTAAAGCTGGGGATGGGCACATAGTGAAGTCCGTCCGATGAAAAGGTTGGAGGCATACCGAGGCCTCCGGTGTACACCGACGATGAAACTGAGCTAGCAGTACCCCACTGCTGGGAGCTCTGAGGAGCTGTGGAGCTGCTGGTCTGTTGAATGTTCAGATTGCTACAATATCCTGAGTCCACTTTAGTGAGCTGCCTTACATTAGACTCAGAGAGGTGCTTTGAGTAACTGTGACACAAACACGTGCAGCCGTGAAATATTTTAAATGGCGGACTCTGACAAGGATTCTAATCATTTTGGCAACTCAAACCTCTCCATAGTTGGCATGCATCACATGATTCATCACAGAAGGAGAGGAAACGGGGGTCATGTGTCCAGTCGGCTGTGTTCCCTCAGATGTCATGGTAACAGGGTGCTTGGAAAAGGTGAAGCATCTCCATGCTGTGGCGTTCTGTTGGAATAAAGTTTAGAATGTAAACCACTCAGATATGTTTCATTATACAAACTGTGTTTCTGCTGAACAAAGCAATGCAAGAACTGGTTGTTATTAGTTATCTACGCTCCAGTGCAGACACTGTCTTTTTATAATATAGAAACATTCTCTGGCTTTTGCTTGATCATTAGCTTTGATGTGATATTAACTTTAGATTAAGTTATTTTGTGTTTTAACCCATCATTTGAACCTCGACCCTCT